CTCAAATTTCCGAATTCTCAAGTTCCCAAATATTTTACTGGATTCTCAAATTTTTCCCAAATTCTTCAATCCCCGAATATTCGATTTTCAAATTCGATCGTAATCCCAAGCGCCAACCAAGCGTTACCTCACGCTTCTCTCGTCCTCGCGAAATAAAATACTCCAAAATAAATATCCAGCCCAGTGGAGACATAAGCCATTCTCTCTTTCTTTCTCCTGATCAATTCTCGTCCAGATTTATCATTCCGCGGCGCGGGCAACAGGAAGGAAAACGAAACGCGGCTCGTTCCTTGAGATCGCGTCACGTTTTATTGTGAATGCGGCTGAATCCCAGTGGCGGAGGTAAAGGGAAACGCGCGTTGAAAGGTACGAGATGACAAGTTCTCATTCTGCCTCTGCTTTTCACAATGCGATTGAATCGATGCGGCTTGGATATAAGCTGTCTGCCTGGTGTGAATATTTAATGAATGTAACCGTTAATGAGGCACGGTCATATTAGTATTAATTAACGGTAGGACGCTCTTCACCGTTTCCATCGTACGAAAAAAGAACTTCAATGAAAAGAGCCTCCAAGATGAGCGGAAAAAGAGAGTGAGAGAGAGAGAGAGAGAGAGAGAGAGAGAGAAAGAGAGAGAAAAGAAATTTCTGATCGTTGAATATACACAATGTTTCGTTTCCTTATTAATTTTGGTGCACAGAGAGGGAAATACTTTTTTTTTTATCGCTATTACACTAAAGAACCTCGCTGCTATTGAAACAGTGGGACCACATTATGCAATGCATCGGAAAACGCCAAGATCGATTTTTTCATTAGCCGTCTAGTTCTGCAGGGGAGTTAATTACCGCGAGGGTGGAACATCTATTAACAAGCTACAAGCTGGTATCTACGATTTACTTTCAAAATCAGCCGAAATATTTGCATCGCGACCTAATTTTTAAATAACGGATCATCCGTACGGGAAATTATCGACTGATAATTTCGGTTTAAACGACGTGATTTTATTTAGGAGCTTGTAATTTTATTCAATTTCGTTCGTAATTTCAACTGCAGACAATACGAAAATACGAAATGACAATTAAGCACCGGAAACTTTTCAATCTACCAGACGAGTTAATTGTCAACGATAAAAATCGAGATTTGAATTAACTTGAGCTTGAAATTTTTAATTTCGTCCAATTTGATTGCCAATCTCCGTAAATGGGATCGAACGTCCAAAATTTTCACACACATTTGATTTAACATAAATTACTCGAGCGATCAAACGGACATCGTTTCATTTATTTTATTAAATAAAACTTGTGCTACTGACTCCAGACCTTAACGTTGCTTCGTTACGAGCAAAAATTATGATATCGAAACCAGTTTGACCAGCCGCTGTCTGTGAATTATTTCTAATTGTTAGTTAACGATTCGTCGTGTAAATAGATTGAAAACGAACTATGGCGAGTCGCGCGTAGAACGGCGCGAGTAATACTCGTATAATATTCGCCATAAAAGATCCTCTTTGACATTTAAGGCATCGTGTCTCAAACTCCCGGATGGAGGGATTTAATGGGATTGAGAATGAAGATATCTTTGTATGGCGTAAAAGGCTTTGAATGTGTTGATAGGTTAACAGGATTAAGGCGGGTTCACCGTGACCCTACAAAGCGGATACTTCAGTTAAGCTACACACTCGCGGAGACGCGACTAGAAATTTGCAAGCAGCGACGTCCGAGAGAGAAAGAGAGAGAGACAGAGAGAGAGGCGCGCGAAAGAAAAATGAAAGCTCGAGTTTGACATTTTCGATGCAAATGTAAATGATGTTAGCCGGCTGACAAACAGGCTAAAATAAAATAAAATTTTCCTCAAGTGTATGGCCAATTACTATTCCGAGTGAGCATGAAATAAAAACAAAAAAAAAAAGAAAAAGAAAAAAGAAGAGAACCGTTTGTTTTCTAACGATTTGTGAAAAAGTTGCAAAACGTCGTATGTATGTGCATTATTTGTTCCGGAATACTGTGAAATACTGTCCGATGATTTAATTTCGTGACACGTTCTGTATGTGAAGTACAAAGATCTAATAGTGGCCAATTCATAATTCTCAACGTGTTTTTATAATGATAAAATCGGAACGTATAATTACAGGCGTTATTACGTAACGTTTAATTGAAAGCTCTATTAGCTATTAAAATATTATACACACGCATGTTGATAATTTACGTATTATTACACGTGGTATCTCATTACTGTTAATACCACGTTAATACTAATAATATTAGTACGTAGTAGTGTTCTATTAGAGCAAATTTAAATTTTTGAGCGAATTGAGGAAATGCGGATCTTTAAAATAAATTTCCTACTGATATCATATTATTACGAAACGGAAAATTGAGAACAAAAAACAATATACTAAAAAAAAAAGTACACGTTGAAATTATATAAAATGTACGTATGCAATAATATTTGTACTTTACACTTATGGAATTTGTATACATACACCATATATACATTATACATTAAACTACGTCTAGACTCCTCAATTTCATTAAAAATATGTAAACATGTTGAAAATTCAGAGTGGTCCTAATTTAATTAGGACGAATTATTTGAGAATAAATGAGATATTATTTTTATATATATATAAAAAAAAAAAAAAAAAAAAAATGTAATCGCGAAATGGTGTTCGATCTTCCGGCTGGAATCGAAGAAAATATTTGTTTTATTGTATTTTCGACGTTTGACCCAGTTTTCTGGATAATATCTATATATATATATATATGTATATATGTAGATACATATATGAACAGCGAGACGGAATCGAAAGTCTGTCGTTAAAACGGACACCGGCGCTCGTACCGCCAGACAATTTCATTCAGTGAAAATATTCATTTACTCGGCTTCCTGTCGCAGCTGGCGAATATTATATCGCGGGTGGAACTCGCGCGCCGTTAATCCTACTTTTCCTCTCTCTGACTGATACCGTTGTAACATCGGTTGGTTATTTAACATGTCCGGTTGCTCGTGTCGAGAGCAACAAGACAAGAAATCCCCCTTAAAATCGTTCACGACGCCGTGATCACGAAAAAGAAGGAACGTTCTCTCGTTCCCTGTAATTACTGGACTGCGAATTTCTGTACATTCACGGGAAATTTTCAAGTGCAAAATATTTCACGGGAGGAGAAAGCGAGCGTGAAATATACATTTCTTCCCTTCCACGGATGGAGTTCTGTTTGACTTCATTCTCAAAAAATGCGAATTCACAGTCTAGCGATGCAATCATAGCGATGCAAAGCGTTGCAGTTGGTATTCATAGAATTTATGAAGCACGTACTTTATAAACTGTAGCGTACGATGACCAATAAATATTACACGTTAACGGCGTTCGTCTTTCTTTAATGATTGTATGGCAATTAGACTGTGAACTTTCGTGCGTTTATATATACTTTTGGACACTGGAACGACGTAACTAGAAGCATAGAGTCAGTATCAGAAAAACTATCATAGAGGACACGATGTCTTTATTTTGCATCTCCACAAGATTTGTAAAAAAAACTTAAGAAATCTATGTTAAATTTAAATTTCAAGTTTACAAAATTACGAATTCCATTCGGTTCTATTAAATTAAATTCCAGCGTTGATCGAATTCTTGGATATATAAATTTGCGCGAAAATCCACGGTCTACTCTTGTGTCGCCCCTGTAATTTACAAGGCTTCGTTCGAAAAAGCTACATTAAAACGAGATAATCTAATTCTAACCGACCTTTTCCTCCAACCAGAAACGAAACAATGCAACGAGACTCAACGGAACGCGAGCGCGCGAATTGTTGAGCGACGACAACGCGTAATTTCAATGCGAATTTTCCAATTTTCGTCGCCGATCGAATATAATATCGGATCTCATTAGTAGCTTTTAATGTCGTCGGAATCTACCGAGCGAGCGTGCACGTCCGCTCGGCTGTTATTGATACTATTAATAAATTAATCCCACGCCTACTATTTCTGACCAGATGGATCGGCGTGCGAACAAATGATTTAATTAAAATCAGTCCCGATCGAGTTCGACTATCGTTCGCCGTTTCAAATTGCCGCAAGCTTAGCGTTTATAAATCGATACGTCGCTGCTAATTGTAATAATGATATTCATCGACTCTCGCGCTCTGGTTTACGATACAATTCGCTTTTCGAATAAAAAGGACCGATATTTCTGGAGTAAAAAAAAAAAAAAGAAAGAGGAAAAAAAGAGATACGCGGTTAACTGCCGCACGAGTTCTAATAACGTTAATCTCGTGATCAAATATCGCGATGTGCCCCGATATCGATGATTACCTCGGCCTCGAACGAACGAATCACACCGCGAGGAATCGAACGTGGATACGTGAAATAGATACGCGAATTTTAGCGATTGTACGAACGTACGAAGGATAAATTGCATCGGATAGAGCGATCGATAGTTCTCAGTGGAAATTCGACGATTTATCTCTTTTTTCTGAAACGAAGTGGCAAGATCTCCCGACTTTACGCGAACAGAGAAATTTTATACGTCCAAACTGAATCGGGACGAAGCTCGCGAGTGTAAAGAATTTCCAAGGTTATTGCACGATCTATGCACGATTTTTATAACGCCCGTCCAAGTTTGATAATTCGTCTCTCGCAGGAAATGGATGAAATTTCGTACTCGGATCGATTTCTCGCGAATGAGGAAATAAAATAAAATTATCACGCTTACGACCGAATGCTTCTCTACTGCAATAAAAGTCCTGTTTTCTACGAATCGCGACGTGCGAATTTTCAAAGGCAGCAACAATCTACGCACAATTGCTAGAGTATTTCCCATTCAACGAAGTTAATCTCTCGTGAAAAAAAAAGAAAAAAACTGGACTGCTCGGCCAGTTCACTGTACGTTCGACTCCGATATATTCCGAGATTCCCTCGTCGCCGTGTGGCTTCCGTTCGTTCGAGAGCACGTTTCAAGGTTACGGTAGACTACGTAGTTCTTCGCAGTGTGCATGTACTTACCGGTTGGTCGCACTGCGCGCTCCCATCGAAAATCTGGCGGCGGAAAACACCTTGGAATCCTCTAGCGTGGTCCTGTCTCGTTGTTCTCTCTCTTTCTCTCTCTCTCCTTCTCTTTCTCGTGGCAGGGCAAGCACGTCGTCTTGTATATCGACCGTGTATGTATGTGTGTGTGTGTGTGTGCGCGTGTGCGTGTGTGAGAGCGGAGAGACAAGTCCCGTGCTCTCGCACGAGATTCTCGTGAAACAATCGTCGCAACGACGTGACCGATACGCTTCTCTTGGACGAACTGAGCTCTCCCCCCCTTGCGCCGGCCTTATATAGCACCCCCACCCCTATAATCTTCCCCTGAGTATCCCCTCCAGCGAAGCAACCCCTGCACGGAAGACGGCTGCTACGTGGGGATGGATCCTAGTATGGTCCACCAAGGACCTCCGTTTTCACCCTCTCTCTCTCTTTCTCTCACTCTCTCTCTTTCTGTCTTCCCGCTTGCACTCTCTCCCTTCGTTTAACCCTCTCTAAAATTCTCCCTCTTTTCCTTCTTCTCCTTTTTCTCTCTCTCTCTCTCTCTCTTGAGCTTCTCTGCTCTTTACGTGCTCTTTCTGTCGATCGTCTTTTCTCCCTTCATTTAAACCTCTCTGAAATTCTCCCTCTTTTCCTTCTTCTTTTACTCCCCTCTCGCTCTTTTCCTCTCTGTCTCTTCCCATTCTCTCTTCTCTCCAACCCCCTCTGAAATTCTCCCTCTTCTTTCACTCCTTCTCGCTCACTTTTTCCTTTCGCCCCCTCCTGCGCTTTCGTCCCTCTTCTTCTGTTCTTACGCTTTTAGCAGCTTTCGCTCTTTCCATTCGAACCATAATCCCTCTCGTTTTAACTTCACCCCATCTCTCCGGCGAGCGTCTCTCTCTCTCTCTCTCTCTCTCTCTTCTCGTATTCCATCTCTGTTGCGCCTTGTTCTCCGGCTTTGTCGCGCCGTGTCCCAAATGACAATGTGTAAACTTCGTGCTCAAAACCCCGTGGCTCACCAGCCTAAGCTCTCCTCTACCCGTGTCTCTGGCCGTCGTCGTCTGGCTCTCCTCTCGTTTCCTCGTCAGGATAGGACGCGTCATGCCAAGAATGTCCCTCAGGGTCAGAGAGCTGGTCAGAGTGATGGAGAGAGAGAGAGAGAAAGCGGAAAAAGAGAGGGAAAAGTTACACGCACGGTGCAAGATACAGCCAGCTGCAACCGATTGGATTATTCGCGATAAATATTTACGCGGCCGCGGTGCAGCACGAGTCACGTTCGTTCATTGAAAAGCGCAACGATCCTCGTCGATCCCGCGAATCCACTCCTCCAAACAAGGATGTTTAATCTCCGTGCGCGCGATCGTGTCTCCTGAACAGCGGCATAGCCTGAAAATTGCCAAGCAGATAGAGACGTGAGAATGATCCGCTCACTTTTTGGACATTTTATTTTTCGTTGATTCAAAACGGTTAAAAAGCGATTAATTGCACAAATTGGAATGCGCAGAATAAAAAAAAAAAAAAAAAGAAAAAAAAAAGAAAAGAAAAAAAAACGAAACTTACGAATGGNAAAAAAAAAAAAAAAAAAGAAAAAAGAAAAAAAAAAGAAAAGAAAAGAAAACGAAACTTACGAATGGTATTTTTTTTTTTTTTTAATTTAGCTCGGCACTTTGTTCTCATCTGAAGAAAGTAAGAGTCTCAGAACGTAAAATGCAAAGCTAAATTTTGGGAACGTGATGCGAATTGCTCTGATCACGTGTAACCCAACGATACTACGCGAGAGTTAATTTTGCATTTGGACAAGCGGAGCAAGTTGGAAAAGTGGGGCTGATTAATTCAGATTCTAGGGAGCTTAAAAATTCCCATCCGGGATGTTCAATTAACCCATTCATTTACAATCCTCTTCAATCAACAATTAACAATTGTCCAATTCTATTTCTTGTTGCTTTGAGCATTTAATATTACTCTATATAGTTTCAAAAAATTGATCAACGATAAATACGACGCCCTATATATAAATTGCGCAATATTAATTAAAATAGACAGCCAGGTTACCTAGATATTACCATCGTGTTTCTTTCGCCATTTCTATGTATTTTAAATCACGCAAACCAAACCGAATTTCTATTCCGCGCGTTCCACTAGCGCGGAATAGATAACCGCGTAAAGGTTAAAAATAACAAAACCCTTCACTCTTTGTTCAACGAGCCTTTAATACCAGCTCGTTTCGATTAAACGCACGCGATTAAAAAACCGCGGGAGGATAACAATATCTCCGTTTCAGTTAAGATCAGTCGAGCAGGTACGCGGGCACAGAAAGGAAAAAACAGTAGTACCGTCGTGTACACGACTCGTATCAAAAACCAGAGAGGCACAAAGCGTGTCTCGTAATAAAGGCGAAAGAACACAATAGCAGAAAAAAATAACCCGACTTGCGTTCCGTGTGTCCTCTGTTTCACTCCTGCTTCCTGCGCGACTACATAAATTTCAATGTCCTTTCGGGAGAAATCTCTTCCCGATGCCTTTTCGGCGTATCCGTACGAAGAGACACCACACCAACCCTCGAATGCTAATTCGCAAACTGATGGATTTGTCGCCGCGCGACAAATCAATCTAAATATGTCCCAAGGTGGAACAAGCTGCTTCTAAATCATCCGAGAATCTCGACCGATAACAGGTAAGAAACTTTTGAAATCTTCGTCCCGTGGGTTCTCACGGGACAGACCCACGGCGGCGAATTTTCCTTCTCTTTTTCTCTCTCGAGAAGAGACGGAAAGTGTACGAGTGATCCATGGGTGGCGGACCGCACACATCATACACTCGAAGCGCATAAATACCATTATCTCCAACAGGCCGCGTGACTCGATTTAGAGGCTGGATCGAATTTCCCTCCCCTCTATCGTTGCTCTGCCTGTCCACCTTTGCCGATTTTCCATTCGCAGGAACACGCGGACAGTCCGCACACGTTTCTCTTTTCGATTTACGCGGTACACGGCGAGAATTAAGAGAATTATGAGAATTCTGAAGAGACCGAGGAGAATAAAAATTCAGCAAACTGCCGAGACCACTGAAACATGCACTCGATGGTGCAAGTTACCAAAATACCACGGAGCATAAATATTCACGGTGGCGAACCACCAAACTGCATGATGCACGGGGCATAGAGACATGGACGGTGGGCGAGTTGCGAAACTGCACGAGGCCGCAAACGACAAGGATTCGCATTACGACGCATGCCAGCGCAAGCTGCAAGAAGCGTAAATCGTATTCGCGATGGCAAGCCAGTCGATATCATCTGTCTAGAACCAAATTCAGAAGATCTCGCGGCGAAAGCGCAACCGTGGTCTGAACCGAAAGAGATAACGGCGAGCCGGACTGGAAAAAAACTGGCGGCCGACCTTCCAACGTCGAATTCTCGTCAGGCTGATCGCGATAATCTAATCGACGATCCAGAAATCGTGTCGACGATATCGTGTCAGGGCCGAGCCACCTGGAGTGACCTACCTGACCCTCGATGCATACGGAGAGAGATGCGAAAACGACGTGGGACCATGGTCGAGAAAAGCGGCAGAGACAGAGACGGGCTAGCGAAAGACAGAGCGGCAACGGTTGCCGAGAGAAGGGGGTTAGGAGAGGTGAAATAGAGAGAAAGAGAGAGAGAGAGAGAGACAAAGACAGAGGAGCGGAGATTGGACGAGGGGAGAGGGTCAAAATCCCCTGGTCGGTCTGCCGCGCACCCTAGGAATTCCTTGCTGCGGCGACGATAGGGGTGCTTTGTCACCCCTTTCGTGGCTTTCGAGCCCCACCAATCGGCCCGCGAGCGTTTCGGTGGGGATTGTAGGGATGCTGTCGTCATGGAGACGCGGACGTCGGTGGGGATGAAGCATAGAGGGCCGACGGTGGCATTGATCGCTGCGCCCGTGGACCATCACCAGTGTTGCCACGGATGTAGAAGGGGTGAATACAAACTCCCCCACTCGCCCCTTTTACTCGCGCGGCTGTCCTAGCCGCACACGCATTATGGACTTCGTATTCGTACGAAAGCACGCGTCCAAGTATGGACTTACGTGCTTATGCGCGCCTGGCGTGAATGATTCGCGACGCGAGAGCGCCCCCGTGCTCCGTTATATCAGCCGGTATGCAGACACCGCGACACACTGTTTTCCTCCGTTGATCTTTCCGCCGGACCAAACGACCGTTTCGATCGTCACTCGCCGATCATCACTCGGGTCAAACCTTGGTTAATTTTAAGGTCCAATTTTAAAGTCCACTCGAGATTTAGTATTTAATTAATGGGGGGAGTAATTCAGAGTCGGATAATTTTTTTTGTTTCTTTTCCTCTTTAAGAAACCACCGTTCTTCGTTTCTCAATGCAACGTATCGCCGCTGTCTTGTTATCTGTGACCCGAGAGAGATTCGACTGACGAGAGATTTCGATTCAGAACAACGATATCGAATACTTTCCTTCATTGATATTTATCGCGAGACGCATCGTTGGATGTCTCGTTGGACAGAGTTAAGAACACAATTGTTGCTCTGTTACGATAGCTTTTAAATGGTAGAGAAACTCTCGTAACCGATTATGGGGAAAGTTGCGCCGTTTTACACAATGACTACAAAAAAGTGTAGTGCATTTGTATGGATATAACTAATCAGATCCGGCGTATAAAATTTCTCTAATGGATGTATTAAATTTCACGATGTATTAAGTTTCAATAGTAAAATTTGATACTATCTGAAATGTGGCTTTTTTCTTTTCTAACGAATGATTTCTACACATTCGAGATCTCACCTCGTCTCTACATATATTCAAGTAAAAAATTGCCACGTGTCGTAGACTATTAACGTTTATGAATAATTGACCCGCGCCAATTCTGCAGTTGTATCTCATTACAGCGTCAATAAAATTTTCAAAGTGGTGGGAAAGCTTTCAGTGAAGAAGAAGAAGAAGAAAAAAAAAAGGAAGGGAAGAAGAGAAGAAGGAAGGCGTCTGAAGGAACGGTACAAATTCCGGATAAGTCGTAGTCATTTAAGCGAGCAACGGGGAGCTTTATCGCGATAGCAGATGACATTAAACCTGGCTAAAGGAGGTTTTTAACACTGTCGTAACCCCATTACGCGTGTCGTCACCCTCCCCCTTCTCCTCCTGCTCCTCGTAGCAGGCACCATAACCATCGCTACAGGGTGGGTTTTAGAAAAATAGAGATAGAAGCTGAAACATCCCGTGATCCGACATTCCAAAGTTTATGCTATCGCGATACATTACGTGATATATCGCACGATACGATATATATATATAT